ATTTTTATTTAATAATTTATATATAATAATGTACTTGACATTTGAAATTTTTCTATATATGTTTTTATCATTTCCTTAGTGCCTTTTTTATAAGATTAATTATATAAAAGTAATAGTCTATTTTTCATAATAAATAATAATATAATTAAAATGTAGAGCAGTGTACAATAAAAAATATTAGTTTATATTTCTTTAATGCTGATATATTTTTTATCTATATGTTTTTGTTTATAGAATAAAATAACATTTAATGCATTAAATTTTTATATATAAATATTAAAAAGAATATTGTGACAAATTAGAATAAATATTTATTCTTATTCTGTTATTTTATATGAAATATATTATAATTTTTATATAAAGTTGTACATCCTAAAAGAGCATAAAATATATATTAAATTTTTGATACATTAGAAAGTTTTAATTTTATTGTTCCCTATATAACTAGATGTATAAACACGATCATGTACTAACTGATATGATTATTAATGAAAGACTTGATTAATAGTATAGATTCTATATTTTTATATCATATTATGAATAAATGGTATACTTTCTTATTTATTCATATGTATATAACATTATTGTTATTTCCATGTCAAAAATAATATGTATGAAATCTTCTTTTAAAAATGAATGTGTTCAAATATATATGGAAATACATGTGGGAAATACATGTATACAATAAATTACAACACATATATTAATTCCATTACATGCGATCAAATTATATTAATTCTTTTTTTTTTTTAAAAAAATTTTTTTTAAAAATTTTTTTTTTCATGTCTTCAAAAAAATATATAAATTTTAGTCCTTTTTCATATAGTATATTATAATAATTTTAAATATATATAATGAATGCGTCAATTGATCCAATGTTTTCATAATTTGGAATACCATATATTATTTAACACAATATAAATACACTAATTTTTTTTATATTTGCATTATAAGTCCTGTTTTCCTTAGTATTATTGTTTATATTTATTAAACTAATTAAATTCTAATTCCTAATTTACAATGTTTCGTGTATCTCATTAATGAAAAAAAAAATGAACGGTAATAAATTTTCTTAAATGATATTATAGATAACCATATGCTTATATGATGTGTGTAATATTTGTTATCTCCTTGAACACTATATTTTTGTTTAAACTAATATTTCATAGGAACATAAAATATATAGAATAAATATATAATCATACATTCATATTGATATAAGTCATATATAATTATTTGTACTATTATAGATCTTCATAGCACAGATCATATTTTAAAAAAGGTATAAAAATAACGGTTATATGTATTTTATCAAGATTATATTTGCTAAAAAATAAAGAAAACTTTTTATCAGTATTCATAAATATTATATTCTTTTATTTATATATATAAATATTTATAATAAATCAATTGTCATAAAATAATAGATCACTAAAATATATTTTTAAGCATAATATATATCAAAAGAATATTATAAAGGTCAAAAAAATATATACTTATTTTCCTAAATGATCCAATTAGTTAAAATATGTTTACCCATAACACTACGAATATAATGTTTATGTAACTTATGCAAATCTATATAATAAAGCATTGACATAAATTTAAAGTGGAAAGAATTTAATTGAGAATGACCATCTATAATAATTTCATAAAAAAAATATATATATTTTTAAGAAATTTTTATATTATTCGATGTTAGAAAAATATATCTAATTGAATAATATGTTTACTGATATTAAATATGTTTGTATGATAGGAATAATTTATATACATAGAATTATTATATAAAAGTTTATTCTAGCATATAAGCCAATATAATTATGTTCTAATATATTTCAAGTTTAATATAATAGTATTAATATTTTTTTATGAAATATATGTAAATAACTCCAAATTTCTAATGAAGAATATAACAACTTATAATAAAATAACATTTTTAATATTTGTTTATATAATTATGTTAAAATACTAAGATGTATAATTATAGATTTAAAAATATATTGACTTCATTCATAGTAAAATTTATAACGTTAGTTATTTAATCACATATTTTTAGTGCCACTAAATATATTATTTGTATAAATGTTCTATTGCGAAAATATAGAAAATACCATTACATATTATTAATATACATTCATTTATTTTTTAATCCTATAATAATTAAAAAAAATTACACTTTTTGTTTTATGGAGTATGTGACTTTATATATATGTTATAATATAATCTTATATTAGTATATATTATGATATTATATGTAGATAAGTCTATATGCATATTTTATATTTTTATATGATATAGACAATGTTTATTTATATTAGGAATCACAGAATTATATATATAATTAAATTAAAGGATAAAAAAATAGAAAAAAAAATCTTTAAATATATTTTCTCGAATAGGTATTTTATATCTACTGTTTTATATTATATAATATATTTTTATGTGCTTTTATTAAATAAATTATACAGATTAGGATACTTACCTTGAATATAAAATAATAAAACAATTTACTATTTTATAATTATCAACAAATTGTGATTTTTATCTTTTCGTCTGAATAGTAATCAACATAAATAAATTTTTATATATTATTTCATATTTTATGTCCATGCTTTTTGGTAAAAATGAAGAGAAACATTATGTAAAATTAAATATATTATATTTATCAAAGCCTAATATTCATGAAATACAATATTAATATATAAATTATTTTTATATATATATTCATCAACAAAACAGGTAACATAAAATAAGATAATAAAATAAATTTTTTTATAAAATAAATATTATAATCACTTAATCTTAATATAAAAAGAATTAAATTTAACTATATTTATCTACTCCTATGTATATAAATTATATGTACATAATATACCGTTTTCAATAAATATGATCTTTAAATGCATAAACGAATAGTTATACATTTAGAATATTTTGTCATATTAACAAATAAATATCAAAAAAAATTTATTGATTTTTAATATTTGGAATAATTTCTATTTTAGAATATTGCTATGAGACTGAGAATATTTCACAAGAGATATTAAAAAAATAAATTTATTTATTATAATCACTTATAGGACATATACCTGAAATAATATCAATTTATATGCCCTTATTACTTTTGGAAAAAATGATGAATTATATATGATATACATAATATTTATTTGTTTTCAATGATTTATAATAACAAATAATTATTATACATTTTTATATAATATCATAAAAAAGTATGAACGGAAAAACAATAATTAATTAAATATATGTCAGGAGATATTCAACACTATATAAATAATAATGATAAAATGATGTTGTGACTTATCATATTTAGCTATTATTAAAAAAAAAGTTAATTTATATATATAATGTCCAAACAAATTATTAGATATAAATAAATAAAAAACCATACTTTTGATATAGTAATATTAGACACTATTTTTATAAATAATATATATAATA